CGTCGCCCCGCTCGTCTGCGGGGCTGTTTCTGCGTTTGTTCTGAGGTAGATGTCTCCGGCTGGGATCTCATAACTTACTTTTATTTCAGGGAGAATTTCTCAGCATAACCCATTCGTTTGCTTCCTCCTGCTTCCGATGTAGCTTTATGTAAAGCGTAGAAAAGTGGAATTCCCGGTGAAGCCAGCGCTGACTTGCCAAGGAAAACCTACTTTAGAAGTAACTATTTTCATACTAGCTTTACAAGTTGTTCCTAAATTCTTTGGTGCTTTTTGCCAGCAGATTTGCTCAGCTTAGGAGGGATTCACTTTTGTTATATTGCTGTCGTGGGATGTCGTGAACCAAATTGAGCGTTTTTAGAAACGGGAGCTGCGGGAGCACTTCTACCAGCTGTTGTGCTGCTGGCATCTGGCAGACCCATGCCGCTTGTCCAGGGTTCCTGAGCTTAAAAGAGGAAAAAGAAGAAGTGCTCAGTAATTGATTACTTGAAAGGCAGATTGAAAAAGTGCTATAAAATCCGTAGTTGCTTTACCATATGGTATTCATGAATTGATCATGTTTTGCTTTGTCTTGATTTTGTTTTTAATACTTGTTTCCCAAATCTACTAAAACCGTCAGTCTTTCCTGAGCTACGATGGGAACAAACAAACAAGAAAGAAAACCAATCGCGTAAATACTTTCAACTTTCGGTTGTTGTATTTACAACTGTCTATTAAAATAGTTTTGCTGAAAACCTATCACTTAAATTCTTGTTAAAGAAACATTTGCTTTGATTATGGGAGTGACATGTTGACACCAGGCCTTTTGTATTGCCTTGCTGTGCCTCTCGTTTCCACCTCCCTACCCCCACATCAGTGAGTTAATGCCGCTGCTTTAGTTTACACAAATTATCTCCATTTACCAAAGGGACATCTTGGACACAGGAACAATTTATTTCTTATTTGTAAGAAGAGGTCCCTCTCTGTTCACTTACAGTTTTGGTTTTAGCTGTTCACGGAGAAAGATCCCATTTAGTCAGGCTTCTTACAGTTAAATGCAGAAAGTTTCTATTTTAAGAAAGCAAACAAAGTGCCAAGCTAGCTTTAATTACATCGTATTTCTTCTTACAGTCATTATTTGATGTAACCTGGTTGGTAGCTTTACCTCAGAACTGATCTGTTGCTTGTGCAGAAGAAATAATTAGAGGCCTGAAACTTTCTTCTGCACACAGCCAGTGTTGGTCTGAAGGTTAATTTTACAAGGCTCGGGCTCTGGGGTAGTAATGTGGAAGTGCGCTTTTGTGTAGGTTATCATCCTTTTTGGCTCATTCTGGTACTGAGCGGCTTTTCCATAGGCTTTAGTTTTTCAGAAGCTAGAAAAGAGGGGAATGTCTGCAAATACAGTGTTTCCTATTACAATTTATTTGAATGGCTAAGGCCCACAAATATTTTACCTTCTTTCCCAACCTGTGCCTTTAAAATAAATTCATAGTTATATAATTAAAATGATAGCAGGCACTTTTGACCTTTTCTGGATGTGCTAGATACAGGTTTTAAAACCTCCTCCTAAATGAAATGTGATTAAGTAGTTTTTAAACACACCCCCCCACACCCCCCAAATAAAATGTAATTCGGTCCTTTTTTAAAGCACTTCTACAAATACTGTGAGACATGCTTGTCTAGCAGGTAACTGGCATGCCTTCTATGGGCCTGATCTAGTGAGCTCTGGAGCAGTGATTTGAGAAAGACAGACATCTGTCTATACATGTATCTCTGTATAAATCCATATATAAAGGGTTTGGGGGCTTGCCCTCTTATTCTGGTAAAGAAAGTTAGCCACCCCTTAGGGCAGTCACTGTTTTAAGAAGATGTGGAAAGTCTTTGCCTGCTGTCATTTTCCATTAGCCTTAGGAGTCAGGGGCACCTTGCAGGGTTCTTCCGTTGGATCTCAGAGGTTGTCAGGGTTTAGTCTTTTTCCAGCTGAAGCAGAAAGCAAGATGACAGTGACTTGAATTTGAACAAAATTGATAAAATGTTCTGTAGTGTACTGTTGTATTATTGGCTGAAGTTTATATTCCTGGAATATCTGAAATTCAGACTGTCAGCAGTGAAAGATCAGTGTTCAAGGAATAAAGCATTTGGTCCCATTTTTAGAAGTCCTTTTGATCAATACTTAATATCTTATAAGGAAAATAAATAATAGTTTGAGACCTTGTTCTTTGAGGAGGTGTCTCTGGACACCATGCTAATTATCATGAAAGATGGAAGTGTATTTAAAAAATAATTCTTTACTACGTTATAAGCCCTGCCTCTCTGGTATTGAACCAGGTACTAGCAGTGGGATTGTTGTAAATCAGGAGATGGCAGACTGCAGCGTGGAGGGGAGCATGCGGCCAGGATCGGAGGTAGGATTTTCTTATGCTGGCTTGCCTGTTGAGAAACCTTAAGGTACCATTATTGTGGAGACTCCTATGTATGACCTGTAAGGAAAACTGGTGGGAACTGGCAAGCTGGAAAGAAGGTCAGAGAGGGCTGAAGGACCCCCACCTTTTCCCAGGGCATCTCTCTCCTGAGGCTTCTGTATCTCAGCAGGCTGTGGAGCTGCCTTTCCCACTGAGCAGAAATCCCAAAACTGGTTGTAACTAGGGAACTGGAATCTGGCCCTGGACTTTGACACATTTACATGGCACTGGCTCTCTCGTGGTCAGGAATGCTGAGATCAGCTTTCTGGTGGCAGGCAAGTGCAAGGAATGATCAGAGAAATTCCTTTGTCAAAACTCATTCCTGTGTGTTTTCCAACTCCGTGGTTGGCTTTGTTTAAGGTTGTTCCCTGTGATGAAATACTACCATGAATAATAATTGCAGGATTTGTCCTTTGAATGTTTAATTAATGGATACTTGGAAAAAAAAAATCTCCTCTAAAAGTCCTAAACTTTTTCTGTTCAGTAAATATATACTTGGAACAATGACAGACAATTTATCAAATCTTGTTTCTGGAGGGCTGCGACTAATGGGAGAAGCTGCTTTGATAGATTTATTTTTAAATAATACATTTTAAAATGTTACTATTAATTTGGCAGCTATAGCTCATGAAGTTTGGTACTGGAATGCATTATTGAGCCCCATACCCCCTTGTCCTTCCAAAATTTAAAATCCTAGAAGTAGCCTATTTTCAACTACAGTGGCAGATGAACTCGAGCTCTCTTTCTTGCATGGAGATTCAGGTAGTTTTCTGTCATTTAGAAAATTTAGAAGAAAATCTGAACTGGTTCCAGTATGTTTGTAAGAGTGGTAGTCACCGAGGGCCCAATGCTTCTTTTTTCATCTGCCTTGTGAAGTACAGCACTCTGTAAATAAATGGGCCCTTTGAAATAGCGTTTTGTTTTGATTTTTCTTTTTAGAGAGGCATTTACAATTCAGCATTAGTAAATGTATCAGAATAAGACTTAAATTACTTCTGGGTATTCATTTTTGTATTCTCTCATAGTATGATTTATTTGATTATTTATTTACTTAGCATTAGATCCTGTGGTGAGGGAATCGTTGCTTTTAATTTGTAAGTGATTTGCTTTTAATTTCTAAGTTATTTAAGGATACAATTGGGATTAAGAAACAGTTTAATCTAGCAATTTACCCTTTGACTTTAAAGATATTACAAGATCAGCTCTTTAGTCCATTTCTTGGGGCTGATCACATTCCTAAGCATAATGGCTGCGGAAGTCTAGGGAAAGCCGAGTCTGGAACATGGAAAAAGAAATTTGAAGCTGTGTGGTCTGTCAGCCTGTGTGTTGCCATGGGACTCTGTGTGCTGGGGCCCTGCACACCTGGGTTCCCTTCTCATTGCTGTTGGGCTATTTTTGTCAGCTTGGGCAGATAACTTCAACTTATGTTCCTCTGCCTTACCTACCTGCTGGCCAGTTGGCAGGTTTCCAGGAAAGTTCCAAAATGTCAGTGTAAAGGAAGACCCATTCCCAGTGAATCTCTTCCAACTGTCCTCCCACTCTCATCAGCCCACAACCTTGAGCCCAGGTCTCCTTTCCATTCTACCTGATGTCAAGCTGCTTCTGAGGCCGCCTATTCTAGCCTACAAGCTATATTCCAGGATGGAGTCCTCTCCTCTTTTACCTCAGGGCACCTTCTCCTGTATCTGTTCCTCACAATCCGTGTTGGCAAGAGGCTATAGCTTGGGGGCAGGGCTTGTCTGCAACAGGCTAGGGCTTCATTACAAACCCCTGTGGCATGGCAGGTTTTCCCCTACTTCATGGTCTGTTTTTATGCAGGTAAAGGATGATGTCATGAGTGTTAGTTGTCTCCAGGCTCCAGAGCTATTCCACTGGCGACAGGTTTTAAAAGTTGTATTTCCAAATCTTTGGAGTGGTTTTAGGAGACTTCATATTTGAGAAAAGGCTGTTCAGATTTATTTCCATCCAATTACATTGAGTCTTTTTGCCCATGCTTTTCTGAACTTCTCTTCCTAGGGTACATATTTTAAACGTACCTATTTTAAACGCAACAGTTGGACACTTGGCCCTGTGTAAGGAGGATCAGACTCTGGGAAGGGATTTCAGGATGTAGTTCCATGTTTTAAATAATATTAAAGAAGGTGCTCTGATAGCACAGTGCTTTGTAGCAAGCCTGCTGGGAGCATAGGCTGTGTAGGGAGGATGGCTGTCGAGTCAGTTGTGCAGAAAAAGAGCTGCTCCCTTAAACCATCTGTGTTCTTGCCCTATTTGGACCTTGCAAGTAGATATATGCATGGACAGACTCCAGTTGCCCCAGCGTAGCCACTTTGAACATTGGAGTTTATGCACCCTCTCTTGTGAAGGATGCACCTTTTTTTTAAAAAAAATTATTTTTATTTTCAGTTAGAAACTTTGCTGAGTTTTAGTGGGAGAGAAGCATGCAATGTGGCATGAAAGGCAAAAGGTTATCTTTGGAGTTGTAGTAGATCAAGTGAGGAGACTGGCTTTCCCTGAGGCTTGACGATATGGCGGTGCCTGACGAAGGGAAGAAGGAGGCTGTGTATTAAGGAAAGTACTAGAGAGATGACAGAGGGAGGAAATAAATGTAGCTGCAGCTGGAGGACTGGCTTTTTCTGTAACTCAATCAACTGAAAGCTCAGCTGCTCCAGGATTCTTCCTCTTCTCAGCCTCCCGGCCTGTTTGGAGGAGATTTGCAAGTAGAAATTTCAAAGCCAGAATTTGTTGGGAACTTCTGTCTCATCTAAGCGAGTGGCCATTAAAAAAAAAGCAGCTTTTTGTGACCTCCTTGGATTTGGTGTGTCTGTGAAAGATTGAGTGGTGGCCACTAACTAGCCCCACGAGGGGTGTTTTCAGAAACTCAGTCCTCTTGGAACAGGATTAGTTCTGCTCCATTAATGCAGAAATGGGGTCTGGAAAATGGTCAGCCAGATCAGCTTTTAAGGAGGAGAAACTTACTGCTCCTAGATCCTTCAGAAATCTCCAGCGCTGCTGTCAAACTGAATCTGCATTATGTCCCACACCATCTGGTAATTGCTGTACGAATTCCTTGACTACCCAGAGTCTCTGTTACCAAATTGTATTTATGTTCCCTTTGATATTTGAAGGATTGTAGTTGTGTTGTGCATGGAACCGTCGCAATGAGCAATCATTTCTCAGCGTGAGTCACGCTTGAGGAGCATGTACTTGAGATGTGTGCGCTGCATCGTCTCTGGAAGAGGCGTGTCAAGACGAGCGAGTGTGAAAGTTCTCTCTCTCACCATTCTTCTGGGAAATTTGTTTTAAGTCTCCAACTTAAAACTCGCTGCTATGCTGCTGCTAGGAAAGGGTAGTTGAAGATAGGGAGCTGGGGTGAGGCAGAAATAAATTTCCATTTTATTTCCTTGTTAAATCAGCTGAATTTGACATCAGGAGCCCTGAAAAATCAAGGTGTTATGATGAATGTTTGAGTGCTAATGTTAGCTCAGTGAATGTTCTTAGTTTAATAGGTAGCACACAAAGATGAGATGTTATGTTTGATCCAAAGCAGAAATTAGAAGGATGGCATCTTCAAGATAAGAGCGTGTCCAGAGACAGCACTAGCTTAGAACGACTTTTTTCCCACATTTACATTTTAAAACGGAAATACATTTTATTTTTAAGGAAGGAGAATAGGGTAGGAGCGGTCATCTTCAGGTGCAGAAGTGGAGAGAATTTGGATGTAGAGTGATGTCTCTCTGACTTGTGACTATGCAAGTTTGACAAGGGTTTGGCGGGGGTGGAAGGAGGGTAAAGGAATGCTGCCTGACTTCCAGGTGGTTTTCCCCAAGAAATCAAAATGACCAAATGAAAATTGCTATCTCCAGAATAGTGACTGTCTGGCTACAGAGACTTGGAATGAAAAAACTTGGAACGTGCTGCTGCCCTGAGTGGTTTTGTTTTGGTTTTTTTTTTTCCAGATAGGCAGCAGCCAGCACTTGCTTGCTAAAAGAAAGTGCATCAGGCCTGTGCACAACAGCTCCACTTGAGAAGCGTGTATAAGGGTGATTCAGCTTCTAAAGTGTGTCATTCTTTGAAACAAATCTGAGTGGGAAACTGAGGATAGAAAGGGGAATCGTTCCTTGCCCAAGGTCAGTCAGGGTTCTGTGATGCAAGAGAGAATGGCAGTAATTCTTTGTTACTCTGTTTCTGAGTTGCTAGTGGGAACTCTTCCAAAACAAATGTAGTCCAATGGTCTAAATGCCTTATTTTCTAGTTTGCTTTCTGTGTTGCTGCCTTTGAATTAGAGTTAATGAATTTCCTACTTCTGTCACAAGAGACTTATTTAGAAGACCACCAAAGAGTTCTAAAGTTTTCGGCAGCAAGACACTACTACTCCCTGCTCTGTATGGCCCTGTTCACTTGAGTGAATGGTAGAGGTAAAAGGAAGCTGTTGGAAGGTTGCTACCTATCTTCCTGCCTTAAGGTAATGTTAAAGAAATTTAAATGTAATTCAAAATGCTGATAGGAATCCCAGCTTGGACCTCTTTGGAGAAGAGGGGAAGACTTTGCTCTAGACAGTATAGTCAAAAGAGGAGCTCACCAAATACAGCTATCTGGGAGAAAGAGCTGGGTTGGACAAGAAAGCCTCTTCCCATGTCAGGCACAACTGTCCTTTCCAGCACTGTCTTCCAAGTCGTAGAAGGAAAGGTGGACATCTTGGTTTTCCTATAGATGTTTTAGTGAAGACCATATAATCTTTATGTAGCTGGTTTCATACTCTTGGAATTAATTGTTTATTTTTTCTAAGTGCTGTAAAGAGAGACAGGCTCAGTTTGCTGAAGGTGTTAAAATCATGACAATGGTGAAAACTCCTCAAAGCAGTTGATCTTGCAGAGGAGTCTGGAATGATGGATAGCATCTCCATGCAGAGAAAGAAGCTGGTTTTAGAGAAGGTGGGAAGTAGGGGTAGAAGCTTTTAATTATGTTCACTGCACAGTCATAATCTAGGTCTATGCACTTCTCTCCATTCTCAGTTAATTCGATGTCAATACAAGGCTTGTACAGCAAGAGGAATTGATTTTTCTTTTTTTTGTTCCACCAGAGCTCTTGTCATGATAATTATTTGTTCACTGTCTTTTCTCACATGCAGACATCACTTTGGGAAAATATATTTTCCTTGAGGATCAGCACAGTTTCTATTATTTCTAAATATTTTCCATCCATTCACTGTTTTTTCAACCCTGGTTTAGCATCTTGTGTCTTTTCTTCAAACAGTGGGTCTCATTTAACTTTTAATCTCTTTCCTCACCTTCAGTTTCATCAGCTAAAACAATTTGCAGTAGAACATTTTGTGCTGACACTTAAATGTCATCACCAAGCTTTACATGTCTTACACTGCAACGAAATGAATGGTATTGGTCATGGGGGACCATGCTGCTTGGAAGCATTTTCAGGCTCAAGGCTTTTTAACCTATTCTAAAAGTGAAATCTGTATCGACTGATCTTGAAAATACAAATGATGTAAATCTCATATTTGGGACAATGCAAAGTGTATGCATAGGTAAACTTTCTTAAATGTGGTTTTACGTTTTGTGGTGTCTAGGTATGTCATGCAGGCCAGAAACATGTCACATGGTCTGAATCTCGCTCATGGGTTCCTCCTGGGTAAAGTGATTCTAATCTGTTTAAATTCCACTGGATTTTGAGACCATCACCAGAACTGAAGTGTCTGCCACATTCTGCTTCAATGTCCCACCCATCAGGCTCTTGACTTTTCTAGGATCAGGACACTGTACGCTGAGGTGCTCCTTACCAGTATCTTTTATATCAATAACATGTTTACATTTTTGTTCTGTCTCTCTATTAAATAATCTTGTTTTCATATTATCTCAACTTAAGGGCTCACATGTAATACACTGAATACAAGTGTACTACTTCTAACTCTTCCTGCTTTACTAAAATACCCTCAGTGCAAAGAGTCAGAACAGCAGGAAGTCCCCTTAGGAATTTCAGCAGCTGTTTGACCATGCAACTGATGTTAGAGGGAAGGACAAGAAAATGTTCTCCCATAGAGGGTGCAGAAGATAGCTCACTATAGATGATATATGAGGCTAGCCCCAACTCACATGTTTATTTATTTTTACTTTAATTTGTCATATAAAGTACATAGTGCATTTTGATATGAATCATAACTTGCTATGAGACTATACCTGCTATTTGTGAGAAGGTATCAGTAGGATGACCACATTCTGAAGTAGTGATTTCTGCAAAGTGCTAAATACTGGAGGGTCTAACTTTTGTCTGTTGGTACACAGGAGGCCACTTTCAGCTTCCAGTGGCTTTGACAGAAGTGCGAGCAGGCCCCAGCTATACTACAAGACTTATTTCCATAGGTTCTACATGTACATGTTCAATTAATGCGTGTTACAATGCCATTTTTGATGCTTCTGTAGTGCTATTAGACATCACAATTTCGTTTCACTTTTCTCCTTTTACTGCGTGCGTCCCCCCCCCAGACCTGTGTTACTTTAACTTTTGAATGTCCTGGGAGGCCGTACCTCTCATGGCAGTGCAGCTTCTGTCTGGAGCAATGACCTTCCCAGACCAAATTCATTAGTGCTCAGCATGGCCTCCATGGTTAGTTGTGCACCCCCCCGCCCCTTTTTTAGAGCCATGTATAGATTATTGGGCTATTTTCTTCTTGCTGGGAGCAATTTGGTTTTAATTTAAAATAAATGTTCTCTGTGAGAATTACACTGCTACTCAACTTACTTTCTTTTCAGAGTGCCCTTTTATACAGAAGTACGCTACAGGTGTAACTTGTTATAACCTTCATCCCCTTGGACTATTCCTTGCTCTAAGGCCCTCAGCTTTTCCTTGTCATGGCATGCCTGTTCCACACCTGGGTATCCTCTTCCATTAGGCAGTGATTCTTCTGCCATGGGACTGTTGCACCAAAAGGCCTCTGTTCAGTGCTTGTAACCATATGAGCCCTTGAGAAGGGAAGTCTTGCTTTCTTCCACAGTCACCCCGCTAAATTTTTATCTTCGTTAGTGGAAAGAACCAAGACAGCTGATATGGAGATTTCTGACTGTAGCTCTGAGTGTTTGGTGTCCTGTTGTAGCACTTCTGCACCTTCGGAGAGCATTGCTTTCTGGCTGAGGTATAAAGCTCAGAAGTATTAATGCATGCAGCTGGCTGGTAGAGGGACAGCACTTCCAAAGAATTGCAATACAAGTAATTTTCTCTTCCCAGACCTTACAAATAATATTTTTTTTTATGTAACCGTGTGGATCTCATTTATATCCCTATTGGAGAGTCTTAGTTTCCCTGTAGGAAGAGCTTCCACATACAGAGTGGTCGTCTTTGATCATCCTCATTGCCTTTCACTGAACCTTTTCCAGTTCTACTTCAGGGGAGGGTATTTGCTGTAGGATAGATTTATACAGTAGCATAGTGATGGTCTCTGCTTTGGCCTATATTCCTTTACAAATAATCCCGAGTGCTCTGTATACTTCCGTGGGTAAAGCTCAGCTACTGAGCAATGAGCTGGTGTCTCCATGGAGCTGTCTGTTCTAACATTGAGATCTTTCTCCTGGGTGTTAGTGATCTGTTTGGGGTCCGTTGCTGCATACGTGTGGTTGGAATCGGCCTCCCGATTCACTGTTCCATTTCACTTGCCATTTTGTTATCCAGTCTCTAGTTCCTGGCAGTTTCCCTCACTGGTACTACCTTGTATAACTTTGAGTCACCAGCAAAGTCTCACCTTGCTGTTCATGCTGTTCCAGATCATAGATGAGTACTGAATCGCACATGTCCCAGCACGGAAGCCTGCAGAACTGCACCGTGACCTCCTCCCTCCTACTGCAAGAATGGAAAGTTTACTCCTCCCACTTCCTATTTTTAGCCAGATGTTTATCCCTGTAAGGACTTTCTTAGGCCGTAACTGCTAATGGTTCATGTCATGGTTGCTTAGTTCACCTACATTTCAAGTATGTGTTGTAACACCACCTTATTCTTTCGTGTTTAACTGATAACGCTGTGGACTCATCAGTGAAAACACATCTTAAATGATAACACGATAAGAAAATCTTCAACTCTTCTATCTGGAGTGTAATGTATTATGGATGTTGGTCCTCAAATCAATTGTTGCTTATAATAGATGAAATGTAGTTTGGTGTAATTCAACGTAGAGGTTCTGCTGGTATGTTGAATGAGTGGCATGCCAGTGTCAGCTCACCAGGACCTCCAGATGGAGTTTCCTGTGCATACTTTAACACGTGTTTTATGTATGTTTGAGTATATCTTAATTTCTTGTGTATGCTTTAACACACATTTTATAGATGTTTGAATATAGCTTATTACTACATGTAACTTTTTTTTATATTTCAGAAGTGTTTTATACCGATGAAAAATGGGGAGAAACATTGCTATGCATCAGCAGTGCTATCCAAATGCCATCTTCATTTCAGTGGAACACCTGGATTTCCTACAAGTTCTTATTACCTGCAAGAGTAATTTAATAGGTTTTTATGAGTAAAGGCAAATGTTTAGAAAAAATTCTGTTTACCAAATGGGCTTTTCTCTTCCTGGTGTAACTCAGGTGTAATGTCTTTGCTGAGACCTCTTTTGCTGGATGTCGTCCCAACTATTCAACAGACTGCTGCTTTGGCTCTTGGGAGACTTGCCAATTATAATGATGACCTGGCAGAGGCAGTCGTGAAGGGAGACATTCTTCCACAGCTTGTGTGTTCATTGTCTGAGCAGAATGTAAGGCATCATTGTTTTCTTAAGTAATCATTTTTCTTAACTATTGCACAGGGAAAGGCAAATCTTTCTGTATCAGCTATCTGCTGTTACTCTAATATAGCAATAAATGTACTGAAGTCAGAGACAGCATGTATTTTGAACTCCTGAGAGATCAATGTGTACTGTGTGCCTAAGTTTGACTCTAAACAAGCTTAACTTTAAAATGTCATCTTACCTTTTAGTGCACTATAGGAAATATATTCACACCACAGTTAGGTTTTTGAAGTGTTGAGTGATGCTTTATAAAAGGTGTCTCTCTAAAAATGAGACAATTTGAAAGCTGTGGTGATAATCGACTAGGATTTGTTGGTAATGCCAAACACTTCTAAAATACGTATAAAAAAAATGGAACTTCTGTAATAAAATATTTAAAATATCCAAACATAGCCTTTTGGAAATATGTAGCATGAGAAATATCAAACCACTGACACAGAAAAATACCTTGAAAGGTTTTCATCTTTATATTTGTAAAACCAAACCAAAAAAACCCCAAAAACCCCAAACCCAAAACAACAAACCAAAACAAAAAACCACCAACAAAAAAGTGTTGGTCGAGATTGCTTTTTTTTTTTTTTTTTTTTTTTCTTTCCCCTTCTTGCCATTTTTCTTCAGGTTTTGCATATATTCTAGCTTCAATTTTTCCAGTGATCCTAAGCTAAATTAACATAAATACTTTCAAATAAGGTTCCTAATAACTGGAAAAAGAAAGAGACAGCTGAGAGTTAAGTGCATTGATACCATAGCCTTATTTAGGTTGCAGTTTTGATTTATTAGGTTTAGAAGTAGGATTTTAAGGGAGATATAATTTGGAAAATTATATATTTTCATTTTCAATCTTTTGAAGAAAACATAATTGTAAGTACTCACTGCATGTTTTTGTGCGTATCTGGTCATTGCCTATACAATTAATATAAAAAAAAAAAAAGCCAAAGAAAGTACTCACTGCATGTTTTTGTGCGTATCTGGTCAATGCCTATACAACAACCTTGGTGTCAAGATACTGGTATAGTATGGAAAGAAAGTTAAGGTTTTTGTTAGACAAATTTATAACTATTTTGGTTCTTTTATTTCTATTTTTAAGGGAAAAAGGGGAAGAAAACTCTTTATCCTCTATTTTTGAGTTGCAAACTGCCCCCTGCTACAACTCAAAGCCCTCACTAAATTAGCTTGAGTACCCTGATTTATCTCTTCCATGTTTCGTGCTGTCGTTACATGGAGATGGCTGTAATTCAGAATCACTTGGGGCAGCAGCAAGATTAGTGTGAGGTCAGGGAAAGCCTACTATGCCTTGGTGACTGAGGGCAAGTGAAGGAAACTCATTATCCAGTTCATGCAGAGTTTAGCAATGCATGCAGTTTGTTACTTCCCACAGGCAAAAAACCCCAACCCAGATATGTTTCCATTCCACTCGCTCTCTGTGTATCAACATCTATATTTAAGGAGGCGATTCTCTGAGCACACAATAAATACCGATTCTACTGATTTATGGAGAACAGTTACAGGGTCACATCCCAGATCAATGTTTTATCAATTAAACTGAGCAAAATACAGTTTTACAGTGTGTTCTGACTGTGCCTGTGAATATGGTTTGTTTGTAAATAAATGCGTTTTGAAAAATAAAAACAAAGTGCTTTTCTTTGCCAGGAGCATAATTAGTTCACAGAAATAACATATCCGTATTTGCACAGACACAGACTGGTGTAAACAACTATAGCTCCACTGAGTTCAGCAAAACTTAGAGGAACTTGCATTAGCTAGGGATTTGACCATTTGTCTGTACTGTTTCTCTTAACTTCTGTTCCCCCTAAATGATATTCAATGCTTTGCTTGTAAATTAAATTTAATGTGCCTGCTTGAAGGCCATAAGTTAGAAGACTTGTTTTTTGGCACTGAGGAATTATATCAGTACTGGTAAACTAAGCAGGGTCAGGGCATGTGTTTGAGCACTGGAAGATGACTGTGCTCTTTAATGGTTAACATGCGTGTGGTTTTAGCCAATGCCAACCATCAAACCGCTTGGCAATGCCTGACATGGTTTAGGGGATAGCATGAGATAGGGACAGTTTCCAGTAGTATAGATGAGGCCATTATGCTTTGAGGGAAGAGGCGTTTGGGTGGACGGCTGGGGTATGCTGTGTCCCTTCCCTTTTGCTTCCTGTGGAGCCATTGCAGATACTCCTCTGCTGCCATACCGTAGTGCTTTAGATCAGACTTGCAAAGGTGTTTGGGCACCTCACAGGATGCACAAAAGCACTCACGTGGTTGTGTTGTTTCTCTGGACTTGATCCAAAAGGGATGTGGGCTTTGCGTTGTTTAAGTTTTGGGTACCTTGACAGTAGGAATCGAGCACTGTGAAGCGCCCAAACTCTCTGTGCAGAGCAGGAGAGAATCAAGCATCTTGGAATGAGATGTGGAAGCCAGTGGGCACACAGAGGGAGAGCCTTCTGGAGCTAGTCTGTATGGCTGACCTGTCAGCTGCCAGGCTGGCGAGCACGCTCAGGGCACATGGACATAGCAGTAGATTGTGTCCCAGTGAGTCTTGCAGTCATTGCTGCACAGCAGCTTCAGGAGGGAGTTGAGCTGTCTTTCTCCCAATGCAGTTGTCTGTGGCTAGATGTCTGGGCTCTGGATTTTGAAACTGTAAGGCAAGGGAAGAAATCTAATCTTCAGCTTCCACATCCCAATGATAGCTATGAAACTGAAGGAGGAGATTGAAATGTGATTTTTGGGGGGAAGTCACTAGCTGTGCTTTTAGAAGAAACCACAACCACCACTGTAGTTTACATGGAACCCTATGATGTGCGCAGCATCATATGTTGTATATATGCTCAAAACATGCATTTGGTCCAGCACTAGGGGAGATGGGTAGAACTGAGACAAGTGCTTTGATTTTGCTTGAACTTGTAATAGAGGTGCCAAGCTGCTTAGTCATGTTGAAAGCAAGCTGTTTCTGGACAGAATTGCAGGCTGCCTGGTCAAAACCGAGGATCATCCAGGGTCAGGTGTTTGGTGGGATGGGTTTTCAGGATCTTAGCTGTGGGCTTAGGCAGTATTTAGAAAGTTCAGGATTCAGATCCTAAACCCTTTTGTTGGATCTAGTTCTCTGTGCCTCTGTTTCTTGTTGGTAAATGTAAACAATGTTTTCTCATAGAGTTGTTGTGAGGGGTATATACATTAGAAATTGTGAAACCTTGCAAGTATCACAGATGGGTAGAATTATTTTAGGAGCTTGCCCTGCATAACCTGTGTAATCTGGTCAAATATGTTAAGAGCTATTGTTTTTGCAGCTCTTATCGTTCGCTACTCACTTAAACAAACAGACTTATCTAGACTATTATCTTGTCCCCATATCCTCTTAGCCCTCTCATTTTTTCTGTTTGTTTATGCACTTACTGCAAATTTTAGATCATGAGCTGTCTCAAAGAAGGACTTTAGGTTCATTGTTTGTGTGATGTCTGGTGGTCCTGATTTGGATCTGTATGAGATATTGCTGCTAACTAGAAAAGTCTAATTTATGCATGTTTGTACTGTATTATGCTTTGAACTACTTAATGTTAGTAAAAGCTTTTTTTTTTTTTTTTTTCCCCTGACTGGTATAGCGTTTCTACAAGAAGGCAGCTGCATTTGTGCTAAGAGCAGTTGGCAAACATTCTCCACAGCTAGCTCAGGCAATAGTTCATTGTGGAGCACTGGAAATGCTTGTGATTTGCTTGGAAGATTTTGACCCTGGAGTCAAAGAAGCTGCATCTTGGGCACTTGGGTATATTGCCCGACACAATTCAGGTAACAGGTTTCACGTGTGTTATCTTTCAGCTTAATGCTATGTAAGAGTTATAATAAATTGCATTATTGTAATGTTCATAAATAGATCAAGATGTGTTTTTCTTCTCTACTGTTATAAAATTTTAAATTTGGAATGAAAACCTACTCTAACTATACCAATCCGACAATGCTGTACCTTTTGTGGGAAGCTGGCATATCTGACACCAGCAGTGCCCAGTTCTGAGAGAAGATGCATTGGTCCTGTGGCCAGGAACTTTGCTTTATTCTCCTTTGTGAATAAATTTCAGAATCTTTATGTATTGTATAACAGTTAATGTGGAACAAAGTTTCTTTTGCTTGACATTAGTTCTTATTTTATGTACATAGTAAAATGGAGAAGCCTATGCAGAACCAAGTTTCATTCAGCTTACATCAGTGCCCGCATGAGAAGTGTGCCAAATTCATTGCACTGGCTATATTACCATTAGCCAGTAGACCACACTCTTCTCCGAGAGTCAGGAATAGATTCTAGGAATCTGATATCCAGCAGTTCACTGCTGTCTCACAAGCAGTTGTATAACTCACTGGCAGTGTCATGTTCCTATTTAAAAGCTGATCCACGTGGTTGATAATTCTTTTACCAGCTATTTATATAGTTCAAGTAAAAGTTTAGAGCTAGGAATCAAAGAACTTTGCGAAGAAACTGCTGGCTGGAGTGGGTGGGAGAAATAGATTGTGTTCATATTTTTTAAAGTTCTAGGATCACAACATTAACCCATGCATTTATGTTTGATTTTGGCTATAAAATGTACATAGACTAAATTTGTGATTTTCTTTTTTTTTTTTTTTTTTTTTTTTTTAAATCCATATGGAGTGCTGGACTGTGGAAGGCATGGGGGCTTTCCCCTTCCCGCTTAGAGAGAGGGTTCACTTACTGGGACAGACTCCAAAGTTGTCAGCACCTTCCTAACAGACTGCTTTTTCTGGGGAACAAATTTATTCTTGGGACACCCCTGTGTGTTAAAGATCTTTTATCTTTTGGTCATTGGGTCTGAATCCCACCCTTGGTGGAAAAATAATTGTTGCTTCCATCAGAAAGATATTTGTTTAAGTGTCATTTGAAAGTGTTCCTTTGTATAAATGTGTGTAGTATAAGTGTGTGTCTGTGTTACTCTTAACATAAACATTTCTGTACTTTTGTTATGTCAGTAAATCAATATTGACTCACCTCAATTGCCCTTCATGCTATTCATTGCATGAATGCTGGCTGATCTTTAGGGTGATCCAGTTCACTCAGTGATGGCATTGTAAGCAAAAAGATGGAGATGATGTAGGAGTATTGAAGACAACAAATTCCTTGTACAAAATTTTATTCCACGATTATGAATTATTTATTCACTGACAGTGAATGGGTACATGTCTCATGTCAATTTGCACCAACAATAAGAACAGCATTTTCAGAAATTAGGTTGAAATTGCAAGTGCTACCAAGCTGCAAGCATCAGGACATAGACAAATAACTAGATGTAATCAGTTAAGAAAAAAAAAAAAAAACCCACAAAACAAACAAAGAAACAAACTGAAAAAAAATATTCTCCCCCTGCCCAGCCATGGCCAATTTGGGGGATTTACCTTCGTCTATAACACAGTCACAGAAAGAAGTCTCTAAAATGGTTACTGAAAGTAGAGGAGTTATACTGAAGAAAGATCACCCTGTGCATGCTGTTTCTTACACTCCTACAAGCGTGCCTTTGCAACAGGATACTGTTGGAGATGGGACACAAAGATAGATGGACCTATTCTTATCAACATCTGGTGTTTACTGTTCAAGAAACTCGGGGTTGGACTCGCATGACTGTGTTGACAAAATTTGGCAGTTATGATTTTCTGTCATTGACTGTCTGTGGACACATATTGCAGCTTAAACTCTAAAAATAGAGTTGGGTGTGAAATGGTTTTCCCCTCCCACGAAGGGTTTTTCAGTTTCAAAAATTGTTTCAGTTCCAGATGGGGACAAGATTAAGACAAGATTTTTTTTCTCTTCTGAAAAGACTGGGGGGTAGGGAGGCTTATTTGCCCCAGCAAGAAAAGTTCAATAATTAGGGTGTATGTTTGGGATGTATGTGGGAGAAAAATTAAAGTCCTGATGTGTCTTAGGCAGGATGTGAACCTCTGTCTCCCTGAACGCAAGCGAAGCCTTCCAGCATTCCACAATAACTGTTTGCAATGGGAGGGTCTCTCTGCTTTTAATCAGAAATTCCATCCATGACCTGGTAAAGCTGCTCTCTAGGAACTGTGGTGTATGTTCCCATTAAAAGACTTCCATTATGAGAAATCAAGACTACTTTTTTTTTTTGATGAAAACATTCTCTAGTTAGCAAGTTCCCTATTGTCTTCATACAACAATCTCTTAAAATGCAGTTCTTCTGTGAACAGATGTCTCCAGAAGACCTGTGAGATTTTAGGTCAAGACAGATGTCTTATGAGATATCAGGACACTAGAAATCTTGCCAGGGCAGATCCCAAAATTTAGGAACAGCTTTTGCAGTTCTGCTCTTTCCTGAAGATACCTTTGAGCTGAATTTCAGACACTGATCTTACTCCAAAGATCAGTGAGCTGTAATTTTGCCATTCACTGTTTCTACTATTTGTGTTTGAAAGGACGCGTAAAGTGTTTCAAACACCATCAAAACACCATCAGTATGAAAAGTATTTTGTAAATTTTTACTTATACCATATTCCGTTACTTTTAAAATGCAAAATTCTTATGTTTGATATGCAAATAACTTAGCTTTCCATTTGCTTTGCCTACATAAAAGGTGTAATTTATTAATCATCTCTTAGTTGCTTCAACATATTGTAAATTGGTAGGAAAATAAAAATAAACAACACCATTTATACTCAAGGATATTGCTGAGAGTGGAGTTATGCTCATTTTCTGTCATACAGAGGTACTCTTAGGATCATAGGATAGCTCAGCTTGGAAGGGACCTCAGGAGGTCTCTAGTCCAGCTCCCTACTCAAAGCAGGGTCAGCTACAAGGTTAGACCAGGTTGCTCAGCTCTTCACTGGTTTGAGTCCAATGGCAACTTTGTCTTATTCCAGGATCTAAGCTTGCCCCATGATTAATGACCTCCATCCTTCTTCTGATGAAAGGTTTTCCCGCTGGTTCCAGTGGAATCTTTAGCACTGAGGTTGCAGTGGTCTGCGTAAACCTGTGATTTTTGAAGTGCAGCCTTTGGACTACTTGTGGGGATTAGAGTCTTCCTATGTGGCCATTACATGATCACACAGTCCTCAGAAAAATACAGTATTGGTGGTTGTTTTGGTCAAAACCTGTTATTTTCTGTGGATACACCTGCCACCACAGCAGGGTCTGTTTAAGAGCCCTGGTCTGGACTGAAACTTGCATTTGATTCCAAGCAAAGGTTTGGTGCTGCTCCGCTATGTGAATATGGCATTTGTTCAGAGCTGATTTTCCTTCTCTGGGGACTGCCTGCACTTTCACTTTCTCACCTTCATCTTTTCTCCCTAATCTTTTTTTTTATCCATACTATTATTGCCAACATATTAACGCTTGTATGGATTTTTTTTTGGTAACACCTTAAACTAGTTGAGATGGATCCTGTAAGACTTCCCATTGATTTCAGTGGGTATGTAGTCAGGATCTTACTGACTCCTCTTCATTCACTTTCAACTCTTCCTGATCACATAAACTCATGACTAGGCCTCAACTTACTTTGAATGAATTTCTTAGTCCCTGACAAGTACTTTTATGTTGAGGCAAACCAGTACAACTCTAGTACAACTTCTAGTTGAACTGGTGACATCTTAAACTCCCAAGTCTGTCTTTATCAATCTTTCTTCTACCTCTATGTCAGTATGTCTCATGTCTGCAATATTTCCATTTGCTAAAATCTTCCTCATATTGTTCTGGACAAACCCAACTATTCTGAGTCACTATGGTGGTTTCTCTTGTCTCTGAGCATACATAGAGTAACTTTTCCTACTATCACATAGGGAGAAGTCCTACTTTATCATCATGTAGTTGGCTCCTTGTACAGGTTCCTTGAGCTGTACCCCACACTGAAGTTTGAAGCCCAGGGTTTCCATAACTTTCTGTGGAATTCAATGAGGTTCATAAATTAGTTTTTCTCTGCTGTTCTTCTCCTCTTCAGCCATCGGTCTTGTCTTTGCCCCTGTAATACAGCCTTGGCATACTGTTCAGAAAAGTTCTTTTGTAATTTGTTCCAGCTCTTTTACTGTCTTTGACTGAATATTTGGTTTTAAAAATTTCTTCTTGACAATTGTATTTTCTCCTTTAACTCTTTCTCAGCCTTTTTTTTTTTTTCACCCCTGTCTGTATTTTTTGATTGGATAGCAAAGTTTTGTGACTCCTTTGGGGTACAGTCTGAATTAAAGATGTTTTACCAAGTGGGAAGGTTAATTGAGCCTCTTTTTGAGAAAAAAGAATTGCAGTTATTATAGAATCATTAATACTTAGAATCGTAGTTTTGGGCTGAGTTTGCAACGGAATGTGATGGGAAGATCTATATTTTCTTTTGTCCCTGCCTCAGCTTTCATGTTTTTCTGACAGTCTGTTTGCTGCTTGTCTGTCTTTTGACACATGGTCCAGCCCTCCATGTGGTAAGTTACTAGCCATGAACCTTACAAACACCACTGGAAGAGCAACCATTTAATTAACCATGACCAATAGTAACCATCAGTATTTAAATGATATCAGACTTCTTACAGCAAGAGCTGGTCTAAGTTGAATCAGATCTAGTTTGCTCCATTAAAATAACTTCTATGGTTACTTTTGCATGCCTGAACGTAGCTGTGACCTTAAAGTATTGCTCTTTCTCTCCCTACTTGAACTTCATGATTTCAGCTCATAAGGCATCAAAGAAACCCATTCTTCTGGTAGTTTTCTGTCCCTCTTGACGTGATTTTCCTGATACTAGCATCTAGTAGGCAATTGAGTTGGTTGCTGTGAAGTTGCTTCTGAGGCACAGTCAGATCGATTAATCTGGATGTTCTACTTGGTCAGTGCACAGCATCAAAATACAATTTGAAGAAATCAAGTATGACTTTTTCTGTGAAAAGCTGAGTGTAGCTTATGCCACTTACACTGATTACCTAGTTTTCAGGTTTGTTTTCAGATATGTTTCAGATACTTTTAATTGCAAACTTGTAAAACTGAAGATACAGCATTTGGGTTTTGTTTAAATCTTATGATTTGTGTGTATTTGGAGGATGCACACTCTACATTTTCAGTCAAATAGTTATTTGAAAAGTGAACCTTGAATAGTTATTTTTTTGTTAGTTTAAAAATTACTGCATTATTTATTATAATTTTGTGAGGTAATATTTATACTTTCTTTAAAATATTACATTGTAAAATAACATACAGTGTAAATATTTGACTTACCACATGTATTGGAGTGTGTGGCTATAACTTACTAATTGAAAACAAATCTGGTCAGGAACGTTATTTGGATATTAACAACATAATGATGACATGACTTACAGATTTCATGAAAAACTGTATTAGTCTATGTATATTTAATGAAGTATGCTATATTTTTCTTAGTATTAAAATCTCTTTATGGATGGACTATAAATCAAAAGCTAACTTAGAGTCTTGAAATACAACAGCCATATGTTGCCATGGTAGTGTAAGTCAAGATAAATGTTAAAGATAATAATGGATATGCATAATAAGGTGTAGCAAAACTGTACTAAGAACCTAATAGATTATTGAATCCCCCATGATTTTTACTGCTTTTTCAACACTATTTTAAAATAGCACAGCTTGGTAATAGTATAAATTTTGCTTCTGATATCCAGTAATTCTTATTTTAGGACTGTGATTAATGCTGCGTACATGGAGAGAGCTAATGAATTTCCAACAGTGTAATTTTTGTCCATGTCAGCTAATCATATGCTCAGATTTTTTTTCTTCTTTTTTATTTAAGGTGCAGTTAGTTAAGGATATTGTACTGATTTCAGACACACAATATCGCACTGATGATATTTCTCATTTGTGTAATTGTATACGATAACATTTTCATGTCATTAAAGTATAAATTCTGTCTTGTCCCATGTATGGTAGCAAAACCTAGTTTTGATCAGCAAGTTCCATTTTTCCAATCTTTTATGTAAGATAAATCTTTTATGTATGCTTTTTGTATTTCTGTTTTTGGCATTTGATCTATGCTAATATCTGCTTATCATTTAAAGAGGGTAAAATGCTCTCTAATTAGGTGGTTGGTAAAATTTTGGTACTTTGGCTTTCTGTGTTGTTGTTAGCCATGCATAAAATGCTTTCCTATTGATCAGTGTAGAATAGCCAGGGTTTAAACAGCTGACATCTGCTTACTTTAAAAAAAGAAAAAGAAAACAGAATAACAAACCATTTCAGCCTAATCTACCTCAAATGTGTGCATGTAAATGGGGGTCCATCTATTGACCTGCATTCTTTTCAGTTGTGGATTGGTCCACACGGTTTATGAAACCAGGAGGGCTGATTTGAAATGCAGATGTCGAGACAGTGAACTACACCCTCCCCTTTTTCCTTTGCTGTATCTGTCAGGGTGAAAAATGGCTTGCACAAGGGTCAGTCACCCATACTCACTTAATTACTTTCCTTGGACCTACAGAACTGTCACAAGCTGTGGTGGATGCAGGAGCTGTTCCTCTTTTAGTGCTCTGTATCCAGGAGCCAGAAATTGCTTTGAAAAGGATTGCTGCTTCAACTCTCAGTGATATTTCAAAGCATTCTCCAGAGTTAGCACAGACAGTAGTGGATGCAGGAGCTATCGCTCACTTAGCTCAGATGATCCTGAACCCTGATGCTAAACTGAAGGTACATTTAAAAATTTTTTTTTTAATCTCCATTATACCAGTCTTTACTTGATATTGAATCAAAGACACCGATGTGTGTATTTATTTAGGAAGCTCTTGTTTTGGGCATTAACAAATGTAACTACAGAGTTAGTGACAAAGAGTTCTGAACATATTCACAGATTTAGCTACTGGATAAAAACTGCTCTGTGAGGAACAGCTAGACTAATCTTTAAAGTGAATAGTATAATTTTTTTTTTTTAATTATATAGTATACAAAAAATGCAACAGATATTTTTAATAGATAAAATTTGCACAATTCAGTTACAAAAAAGGTTTTGCATACTTCAGATTATGCTATAAACCAGTTAATATTAAATGTATTGTCGTATTTTAGAATGTACTATCTGATGTGGATAGCTGTTGTTGAAGGTTTAATCACTAGAGTTTAACTGACAAAAAAATAATTTCTTAATACAATTTTTCTGTCTTATTCTAACAGAAACAGAAGACAGCACAAAAATGCCATTTCAAACAAATAGATAAAAATTTTTTAATAAAAGGTCTGACAGACCCAACTTACGCAAATAAAGATACTTTCTACAGATTTCACTAAATTATAAATTACAGTTTTAAATGATATATATTTTTTTCCCTTTTTAATACATAGCAAGCTTGAATGGGATAAAACAAAGGAGAAACTTTTATTCAGGAACCAGCGAGTGTTCTGTGCCATTATATTCGTGCATGAATTGACTCAGTGAATTGTAAAATAGCTGTAATTGTTTTCCCTATCCTGCTTTGTTTTCCTTGATGCAATAGATTTTTGTGTGCAGGAGGAGTGTATGTTGTGGGATGTTTGTATACTATTGATTTTATAACAATTTCTATTTACTAGCGTCAGGTGCTGTCAGCTCTAAGCCAAATAGCAAAGCATTCAGTGGATCTTGCAGAGCTGGTGGTTGAAGCAGAAATTTTCCCAGTTGTGCTCACATGCCTGAAGGACTCAGATGAATATGTCAAGAAAAATGGTGCAACTTTAATTAGAGAGATAGCAAAGCATACGCCTGAGGTAAAACCTTGAAAATGCAAATACAAGGTCATATCATTAGATTTTACACTTTAAATAAAATACAGGATTATTCTGTCATTTGCTTTTTGAAAGGGAGGGCAAATAGCTGTTTGGCATGTTCATTGGAAAAATATGGAAATGCTTGCTGATATTATGAGATGTGTATTGAATATGACTTGGGCTAGGAAACTGGGAATCATATAATGTATACCTAGCTACTTCATTCCACAAGATATCTGCACAGAGAGGGAGTTTTAGGCTGACAGTATTGTCAGTCCTAGATATTAAAAATATCATGAGAAAAGCCTCACAGAAGTCATGGTACCAGCTAATAAATGACAAGATCATCCTATAACAATAATAGGTGGTGTGTCTTTTTTAAAAATCTTCTGGGGTGCTGGGATCACATTTTAATTATTTTTCCAATGACAATGAAGGTCAAAAGTTCTCTTAGTTATTATTAAACTGAAGGTAGTTTCTTCTATTAGCTTCAGTTTGTAATCTGAGTCTCAGCATTTGCAGTGCTTTTGCCAATAATTGATACAGGAAGGTGGGGATGTTTGGCAAAATCAATACAAAATAAGTAGGAAAACCAAATAATTATAACCATGTTAATCTGTTGTAGAGATAATTAAAAGGCTCTAAATATGACTCTGGACTGAAATGTAAGCAATGTATTTGTGGAAACCACTAATGCTGAGCACAGCAATTTCAAAATTATGATACTAGCTTAACAGCTGAGAGGTGTTTAAACATGAATATTGCGCTGTTTCTTCAGCCCGCTAGTCTTTAAGCTGCTGGTGATGAAAGGTTGGGGTCTTGTCAAGTTTCCTGCTCTCTCTCTGCACCTCATGAGCAATGCAACTTTGCTTTCTCAAAAAAGTGAAGAAATTATCATTATCCCAGGGGGGCACTAGAGTTGGAAGCCAGAGGCCAAACTCACAAGACTGCAGGTAAAGTCAGAAGAGCTGCTAGCACAGGATCCCCATGTAGGGGCAATTGGCCATTCTAGCAGCTCTCCAAAGGAAGAGAGGAAGTATCTTGGTGACTCCTGGCGGGAAGTCACAATCCACAGTCGCCTTCAGAGTGACTGATCTCTGTCCATCTCTGAGCAACTCTAATCAAGCAACGCATGTTGCAGGAGAGACAGACTGGCAAATGATATTTCTAGAGGAGTTGGCTCTGTCAGTCATGGGAGCATTGTGGCTTTTGGATCTCAGCTCTCTGTCTGCATAGGCAGTCAAATTCATGTGAAGGTGGGGATCTGGGGACTTGCAGCGGGACCTGAGGGTCACAGCACCAGGGAGTGTGTCTGTGCAGGAGCTCTGTGTATGTGGCTGTGCCCAGATGTAGGACTAGGTCGTCACTGGCTGCAGTTCACAATGATGTGAACAGTTTTTCCTAAGTAATAACTTTAAATTTCATCTAGCTGTTTGATGAAAAAAAAAAAAATAAATCCCCTTTTAAAGGTTATAAGGCAAAGTGGATTTTATGTCTGTATAAATCAACTGGATTGGAAATCCACATGCCTCAGTTTTGTTAATTTGATTTTGAGTTTTAAGAATGTGTTTATTTTGCTTTGTAATCTTTGGAAAAAATGTGATATACCTAACAAGGTAGAAGAAAATAATAATGATATGAAATTAGTTTAATTTCTGTGCATTGTTGTTATCATACATACGCTACTGCTGTCCTTCAAGTGATGTGAGAAATGATACCTTTTGGAAAGAAACATGTTGCATCACTTGATACACACAGCAAGCATCATAGACTGCAGACATGATTATAATTTATTAGCAAGGCTATGTAATTGGGCATTCTGGGGCAAACTCCATTGCCCATCCAGTGTGTTCCCTGGACACCTCCCTCAGAATACCCTAATGTGGCAGAATGGTGTAGTCCAAGTCAGTTTTGTGCACCCATAACAGTTATCTTTGGCTTCATGCCTCAGTAGGGGCATCCACAAAGGCTTTTGTGCTTGCAGAGGTTATGCAGGTGAGAGGAGGAGCGGGCCTTTCCCTCTGTCCCTGCACAGAACATATGATGTTGGCTTGGGAAGGAGTGAGCACTAGTATGAAAGAGTATCTGGCTCAGTAGGTGCGTCTTTGAGGGCATTCGTGTGCTAGGCTGTCACTTGCATGATTCTTTGGTGTATACCAATGGAGCTGAGAATATGTCATTCCATGCCATTCAGCATCAAGAATTCAGAGTCCTGATTTCCTTGTAGTAAAGTCAATCAAAAACAGAGTAGCAAAACAACTTCATTCCTGAGAACTTCATGCTGCACTTAGTGCCCAACAGTCTGTATGATACATCACTCATTCCAGTTTTATTGTGTAAATCAGGAGCAATACATTTAAAGACTTTTCTAATGTAGTACTTTATGCCTGTTGATACTTCACAGTATCTAATATCTTCCGTTTATCTTTTCAGCTTTCACAGCTTATAGTAAATGCAGGTGGAGTTGCTGCTGTGATTGATTGTATTGGCAGCTGCAGAGGGACTGTCAGACTGCCTGGCATCATGATGCTTGGTTACGTAGCAGCTCATTCGGAGAACCTGTCAATGGCAGTGATTGTCTCCAAGGTTAGCTATCACTTTGTTGTCTTCCTATAATTCTTCAGTGGTATTCTGAGAAAGAGATACAAATTAACATAGGCAGAGAATGTATTTTGTGACAGAATTATATACTTGCTGTTGACGAATGCACATTCTCCTAATATTGCTGCTTGCTGTGGCTGAAATTATGTGGTAAGCTGATCAAAGTGTGTCTTTATGAAGTTGAACCTTTTATAAAATGTCCTAGATTTGTTTGTGAACATCTATTTATATTACAGTACATGATTTTTCTGTGTTGCAATTCCACGGGTACAGAAAATAAGTCAGTGAATTTCTATGGTCTGTTTCCTCTTAAAATGAGTATTTGTGGCTGCATCAAAACCCTTTTTGAAACAAGCATGTTTAATGGCACATTCTTCATTGCACTAGCATGACTCTGCTAGTACTGCTAGAGTACTCTTGCAACAGAAATCTTCGGGCTTGAAAAGACCTCCATTTCTAATGGTGTATGGTTTGATTCAGTTGTGCAAGTGACCTTTCAAATGAGATAAGCTATACATTTTCAGGTTTAAAGAAATTCTGCTGGGCAATGATATAGAAGGGAGAGAATTTGCAATATTCTCAATAGGTGAAGTTAGTGCCTGACATAGTATTCTGATGTGAAGAATGCTAATTAATGACTGGAGAAAGGAAGTAATTTCACTGAACATTGTTGGCCCATTTTCACACTATGTCTGTCATTTAAAATATATTGTATGAGTGGAAACAATGAAACAATAAAAACAGAGGAACAGAAATGTCTTCTAGTAGGAATGCAAGTTAAAAAATGGAAATTGCTACAACATAACATAAATAAATATGCAGGGAAGGTAGGAGTGATCTAAAAAATGCTCTTCTACATTTGAAAACTGAAGAAATAGACACTTTTTCCTTGCCCTCTCTGGAGGCTCTTCTTCTCTGGATGTGTCTCTGTCTCTCCACTTTCAGGGATGCCTAGAGCAAAGATGCTCCTGCTGCTGAGTGCTTGATGTTAAGTGGGATGAATCCAGGATTAAGTTAATGAGGAAGGACCTAAGTGATAAATTTTTGAAGAGTAATAATGGTTACTACCACAACTGAATGGGAGCACAGTGAGAGATTTTGTAGGGATCTGTGCAAATTCATGAAATTAAATATTTTAATAAATGATCCATGAAAGAAACCCAAATAAACCCAAACACCATTTTTAAAAAAAATTGCTTCAGGGGAAATTAAGCTTGTGGAATGGTACATAGTGCTGAGGAGATGGCTTGGTAAACCATTTGAAAGAAATGCACTGTGGCATAACCACATGCAGTTACACATCTACAATGTTATGATGTAATGTGATAGCTCCATTCCGCAGTACTGTATTCTGGAAGGGATGAATTTTGAAAAATTATTTTTGGGGTCTTACTGGACAAACACTTCATTGCCATCTTCTGCTGCAGTTCAGTGGCAAAAAAAAAAGACAATTCAGTCCTTGGCAGTATTAGAGTGGAAGATGAAGCATTATTGGAAAAGAGAAGTCAATCTATCTGAGGTACTAGTGCATATAGTTCTGTTGTCTGTATTTGAAAAGGATCTTGACAAAACTCTGAAGAGTGTGCAAAAAAGACTAAAAAATGATCCATGGGATGGAGAAAAAGGTTTTCTAGTGAGAGGTTGAGAGACTTGCCTTGCCTAAAGTAACATGAAATGATTCCTATTGAAGTATCCTGGCATAAAATACCAGCTACTAAGCAGCTCCATAATGCGGAGAAAGTATAAAGACTGTGACCCTGAACTAGAAGAACTTCAGTAACAGCTGGATGCGAACGCGGTATTTTCCATCTCTCGATGTCTTCAAATCAAGAACTGAAACCTTTCTGGAGCTGATTGGATGAGTCAAACACGGGACTCAAGAAGTTGTTGATAGTTGAAATTTAGTGCTGTGGATGAAAAAAAAGACAACTCAATGACTGAGCCCTTCTGGTCTTAAACTGCTTTCATAGATTCATAAACACTCAAATTCTTTTATTTTCAGTCTGTCAAAACTGAAGCCTTTACTTCTAGTACAGCCTGAACTGTGTCATGTATTCCTTTTATCCCTTAAATTTGTGTGTTAGCTCAAACCGCCTTGTGACTTAGAACATTGAATTTGTTTCCTTTCTTTAACTAGATTTATTAAGATTTATTCAACGTTCTTTCTAGTCATGATGTTGTAAAAATATGACACCACTAGCATGTGTTCTCTTATAACTTATTTTAGAAGAAGAATGTAAATAGAGAGGCATTTTCTAACAATCTGTATCAGTTCCAAGTTGTCCTTCCCTGGTGTAGATTTGCAAAGATTGTGCTTTTAATTAATGCTACAGGGAATACCACCACTGTGTGCCTGCTTGATAGAGGAACCTGAAGATCATATTAAGGCAGCAGCTGCTTGGGCCTTGGGACAGGTTGGAAGACATACTCCTGAGCATGCACGTGCTGTTGCAGTAGCAAATGTGCTACCCACACTGCTTGCTATGTATATGGACACACGCAGTTCAGAAGATCTTCAAATGAAAGCAAGTATATTTGTAGTATATGTAGTATGAGATAGTTATTGTAATCAATAGGTATAAGTGCTTAAAAACTACTGAATGGTATGCGCTTTTATTGATGTTCATCAAACCACAGATTTACTGGGTGTAGGGTGTCTGAAGGCTGTGTGTCATTTAGTAGGACTGGCTGGTCCTAATGGGTGCATACCAAATCATATACATGTAAAGCCACAGTAATCTAGTCCCTCATTTTCTTTTCAGTTTAGATCAGTTGCATACACCCATAAATGCTATAATTTCTTGTGACCGATTTCTAATATTATAGTCCTTGTAGATGGGCTCACATTTTTATTAATATAATAAAACTGTTACAAATACTCTGCTCTTGAAAATGTGCAACTGTTCATGTTTAGAGCCTTCCTTGTGTGAAAGCTAGTAGAGTTGTAGTTTGGTGAAGTGTATTTTTGAGCAACAGTAAATGAACCAACTGAAGAGTATAATATGACAGGATATGTTGTACTATGCTTCTGTACATTCCACTGAAGCACAATGCTCCAGATCTGTAAAAAACCTTTTGTATAGTCGTTTTCAGTGGTCACCAAAATATCAAGGCCAAATCAGCTGTGTCTATAATCCTACCCAAGAAGGTCATTACTGCTTGTAGCAGTCAGC